TTTAGGGCTTTGGGTTGTTCGGTAACTTCCGTTCGTGGGCTTTAGAGTTTGGGGTTTAGGGTTTAGGGTTACACAAAAAGACCCAACTCTGGTGACATCTGAAGAGGTGTGTGCCTTACACTCTGCCTTTGAGGTTAGGGTTTAGGGTTTAGGGTTTAGGGTTTAGGGTTTAGGGGTTAGGGGTTAGGGGTTAGGGGTTAGGGGTTAGGGGTTAGGGTTTAGGTATAATTTGTGCCGGTTTGGGGGTACTAGTACAGAAAGCCATACTTCATACGCCAAAAAGTGGCGTTGGCAAGGGCTTTCCAACCTTGCTGCAGCCTTAAACCCTAAACCCTGAACCCTAAACCCTAAACCCTCAACCCTGAACCCTAAACCCTGAACCCTGAACCCTGAACCCTAAACCCTAAACGGTGGCACCTCTGAATCGACCACTGGCCGTTTGAAGTTTACGCCGCTGTGCCACACAAAGTCAATGTAGGCCTCATGGCAACCCTAAACCCTAAACCCTAAACCCGGACCTCTAACCCTAAACCCTAAGCCCTAAACCCTAAACCCGAATCCCTAATCCCGAATCCCTAAACGTGACCCCCCCCCCCCCACTCCCCACAAGAAGGAGAGTCCGAATCGGCTACCGTCTGATCCCTTGCTCCTGGCCACCAGGTGACCAGCATCCAGTGTTTCAAAGGTAGCTGTCCATGCCACTCTTGGAGGCCGGGTTTGGCGGTTTAGGGTTTAGGGTTTAGGGTTCAGGGTTCAGGGTTTAGGGTTTAGGGTTTGAGGTTCCGGTTTGGGGTTCAGGGTTAGTTCGTGTTTAGGGTTTAGGGCTTAGGGCTGATTCGGGTATGGAATCCTAGACTACCTCCCGCCCGCAGGAGGTCTGCGGAGTGGCTTTTAGTGTAGTAGACGCAATTCATAGCCCGCTTACTTGCTAGCGTCGTAAGGATTGTGGAAAATTCGTTCTCTGAAATGCCCCTTGAAGGGGAGCCTAGGGGGGGGGGGTAGTATAGGGGGAACGCATGATACATCCGAAAAAGCGGCTGTCGATGATAGACCCTCGATGCACGCGAAGTCCTTACCCTCCCCACTCTGACCCCAACCTCTATATGCTCATCAAACTTTGCCGTCGCCGAAAACAGTGTTCGTGTGTGTATGCGTGACGTCCATGGGCCAGTTTTCTGATGGTTCTCAGGTTTGCAATGATGCTTTCACTCTTGCAGCAGTGGAGATCTTTCCCCCGCAGCACAGCCGCAGCTTACACTTGCGCACCCGGTTCCGGAAGTAACGGGTTACAAGGTTAATGGTTGAAGAGTGTGTGCAGATGTGCACGAAACCCTCAACCCGCGTTAGCCCCGAAATCCTGAACGTAGGTCCTAAAGTCCTATATAGACCTGCAGGGCCTTTGCAGTTCGTTGTGATTAACGACATCCATCCCCTAAACTCTAAACTCTAAACTCTAAATTCTAAACCCTAAACCCTAAACCCTAAACCCTCAACCCTCAACCCTCAACCCTCAACCCTCAACCCTCAACCCTCAACCCTCAACCCTCAACCCTCAACCCTCAACCCTCAACCCTCAACCCTCAACCCTAAACCCTAAACCCTAAACCCTAAACCCTAAACCCTAAACCCTAAACCCTAGCAGCTGCCATCCCAAAGCCTGCGCCCTGACGCGTAACATCCCTCGAACTTTGCCGCCGACTCGATCGCCCTCCCAAACCCCTACACCCTAAGACCTAGACACGAAAGCCGAAGGCCTAAACCCGAAAGCCGAAACCCCAGCAAACCCTAAACCCTAAACCCTAAACCCTAAACCCTAAACCCTAAACCCTAAACCCTAAACCCTAAACCCTAAACCCTAAACCCTAAACCCTAAACCCCAAACCCTAACCCTAAACCCCAAACCCTAAACCCTAAACCCTAAACCCCCCAAATGCCGAGTCCTGCGTTCCGCTGGCAGGTCGCCTAGCAACAGAGTGACGCACGCAGCGGGGACATTACCAACGCAGCCAAAAACCGGACTGGTGGCGGTGTAGTGTTTTCTTTGTGGTACTTTACTGTAACTTTAGATCCTTACCTTTTTTGGGGGTTTATTGGGTTTCTTATTAAGGCAGCTAAAAGTTTCATCTATAGCTACCCTCCTCAGTGCAGCCAAGTAGTGTAAGCAAAGCTTCGGGGACTCGGGCTTACCTGGCTTTGCTTCTGGGAGGCATATACCCTGAACCCTAAACCCTAAACCTTAAACCCTAAACCTTAAAGCCGAAACCCTAAGGTATTTTCGAGGCGGACAGTGTTTGGGGGTAAAAGTCGGTGAGAGACTTGTGTAGGTGCCACTGTGACTGGGGACATCGATGCTTCAAACGAGGTTTAGGGTTTAGGATTTAGGGTTTGGGGTTTAGGGTTTAGGATTTAGGGTCTAGGGTTTTGATCTTCAACCCTAGTGCTGCGGATTTGGGGTTTAATGCGGGTGTGGGGTTTAGGATTTAATCAGGTGTTTGGGTTTAGGGTCTTTAGACCCTGAACCTGAATTTGGGGTTTGGCCGAGCAGTTTTTCGGTGCGTTGGCCCCTCGTCCTTCGACGAACTAGACTCTTAGCGACAGAGCCATTGCTGCGAGAAAAATCAACCTTCAACAAGGGTTTTTGAGATGTTCTGTATCGCGCTGCGCGTAGCATCCCTCCCAAGCGGGGGCTCCAAGGGCATGTGGCTGCAATCCAGCGACGTGGCTGGGTGAATGGGTGGGTTGGTGGGTGGGTGGGTTCGGAAATAGCATGGACCTAGGCGCACATAACATGTCCTCCGTGATGTTTCGCGCGGAGCATTTAAACCCAAAACCCACGACCCTTTTGGATTGCTGGTTTAGGGTTTCTGGTTAGGGGTTTAGGGTTTGTTGGCTTGGCTCCTCCTTCGCAAGCCACAATGTGTCGGATCCGTGCAGTGGACTGCAACCGAGGATGTTCTTCGAGTTTAGGTGCTGTTAAGGATCGTAAAAAGAAGCTACCACAACAGGCATGGATAAACGGTTGTGTGTATACAACAATTAGTACGCTTTCCGAACTACGGTATCGTAACTCAAGTTCATTTGTCTTTAACAACAGCCTAGTTGCATGCATCAGTAGCTCCGAAACCCTAAACCCGAAACCCTAAAGCCTAAACCCTAAACCCTAAACCCTGAACAGCATGTGGGGTTGTTCGATGTAGCTGTCCCTTTTTTTCGGTTGGTCCACTCAGAGGAGTCCTGCTATCAAGGGTAAACATTAAAGCCTTTATGTAAATGCAAACATATACATGTATACATACATATATATATATATATATATATGTATACAGGGCGGGGTTACCATATACACACACATGTATGTATGTATGTATGTATGTATGTATGTATGTATGTATGTATGTATGTATGTATGTATGTATGTATGTACGTATGTATGTAGGTATGTATGTATGTATGTATGTATGTATGTATGTATGTATGTATGTATGTATGTATGTATGTATGTATGTATGTATGTATGTATGTATGTATGTATGTATGTATGTGTGTGTCTGTATGTATGTATGTATGTATGTATGTATGTATGTACATATATGTATATATGCATGTTACATGTATGTATTCATATAATTTAAAGAATATATATATATATATATATGTATACCTTGAGGCCCTAGACGCATGGTTTAGTGGATTTCTTAAGCCGGCTCCCTGAACCCCAAACCCTCGACACGCCGTCTTCCCATCGCATGTGCAATCCGCCCTAAGCCCCAAACCCTAAACCCTGAACCCAAAACCCTAAACCCTAAACCCAAAACCCTAAACCCTTCCGCAGACAGGCCCTGGATTCGTACCTTCACCTTGGACCTACACCCTGAACTCAAGACCCCTCTAGCTGAAGCTCCCTAAACCCTAAACCCTAACCCCTAAGCCCTAAACCCTAAACCCTAAGCCCTAAACCCTAAACCCTGACCCCGGTTTAGGGTCAAGGGTTTAGGGTTTAGGGTTTGGGGGCCCATGGAATGAGAATGGGTTTAGGGGGTAGTCTATGTCCTGCATCCCTGGGGGGTGTCCGGGGATACTACTGGCAATGATGCTGAAGGTTTGCACATCTAGGGCACCCCTAAAATAGACCCCAAATAGTAGGATTCCCTGACAGGAATAAACCAACAAGGTACCTGTAGTTTCGGAACCCCATCTAGAGAAGTGAGCCTAAACCCTAAACGCCAAACCCCAGATCCCAAACCACAAACCCCAAACCCTAAACCCTAAACCCGAAACCCTAAACCCTAAACCCTAAGCCCATTCAGAGGCTCTCTATTGCTCTGAGGCCGCCAATGCTGCCTGCCGGCCGCTGACACAGAAGCTCCCTGGGCCTGAACCCTAAACCCTAAACCCTAAACCCTAAACCCTAAACCCTAAACCCTAAACCCTAAACCCTAAACCCTAAACCCTAAACCCTAAACCCTAAACCCTAAACCTAAACCCCTAAACCCCTAAACCCTAAACCCTAAACCCTAAACCCTAAACCCTAAACCCTAAACCCTAAACCCCAAACCCTAAACCCTAAACCCTAAACCCACACCCTAAATCCTAGAATCTCCCAGGGCCGCTTCTTAAGGCCCCCCCCCCCCCCAAGTTTGTGAACATCTAGGGTGTTTTTTTGGGTGTGAAGGCTTGCGATTTCGGGAATTTTTGGGTTTACGGTTTAGGGTTTAGGGTTCGGGCTTGGAACTTTTGAGGCTTCAGAACTCCGCCACACCGATGAGTCTGAGCGGCCAATCTGATTGCGACTGCGGCGTGAAGGATGTTTGATCATGGCTCACGCTCTCCATTCCAACACTTCTTGTGGCTTAGCATATCATGTGTAAGATATGGGCCTTAGGGTCTTGGGGGGTTTTCATGGTGTAGTTAGGGCCAGCAGGGAATAGTTGTCGCAATTCTTCCAGCCCCTTGTAGTAGCTGAGTCTACTTGGGCTCCGGCATTATTGGAGCGAGCAGCCATGGCCAATGATGCATCTTCGCACACTTCCAAACAACTGGCTCTTGTCTCCATGACTTGTGTCACGTCACTCCTATTCATCATCGTGGGCTTTCCGTGCGCGACACGGTTGTGGGACTTGAGTTTCCGCGTCAATAGCAGTCTGAACGTCCTCATCAGCCTGAGCGTGTTGCTGCTGCGGCCGAGCTGGAAGACCACCTGCCTTCTTCGGATCTCTTTGCTGCTGAATTCTGCAGGCATGTTCACGATCTCGTATCAGTGGTGTGCAGACTTCGATGCATGGGCCATCGGACTGATGATGTCAGTTGGATACCAGACCCTGGCCGGGCTTGTGCTTGTCAGGACGCATGTGCCAAGGCATGTTTTGCTGCACCTTGTTGGGACGGTCTCTTGCTACATGGCCCGGGCTGATTCCCCCAGCCCACTCTCCCTGATCGAGGGGCGGCACTGGGCGGCAACCATCGTCACGCCGGCGGTCATCTGTGTGACCGTGATGTGGTACAGCGCAGGAGATTTCCTGATCAGGAAGCTTCTTGCTGGGACTTTACTACAACTTTATCACTTTATAAGTTTTGAGATCCTCTCATTTCATAATAAGGGAGCTAAAAGTTAAAAACAAAAATTGGGGGGGTTAAAGAGCAACCAAGGTTTGTTGCTGTCGCATCCATCCTGGCGATGTCGCCCGAGAAGCTTGAACGACACTACCCATCAGGTTCGACGAGTGAGGGAAGATCTCCAACACGATCACCAACAAGATCCTCGGTGGCCCAGTGGTACCCTTTTACCCCTTTTTTTGTTGGGTTCTGGCTTCCCTTTAAAAAAAATGAACCAGCCCAAAAAGGGGTTTGGTAGCCCAGTGGTACCCTTTTACCCCCATTTTTTTGTTGGGTTCTGGTTTCCTTAAAAAAACAGCCAACCCAAAAAAGGGTGGGCCCCTATTATGAGATGGCTGCTGGGCTACCAAGGATCAGGAAGATCTTCTGCATCTTCGGGATCAGGATCCTCTTGGGGGAAGCGCGATTTCGCAAGAGTGCCAGATGGCCTGGAGATTGTGTCGTATGTTGGGTCAGGCTCTTTCGGCAAGGTCTACTACTGCGCTTGGGGTGACCAGCACGTGGCCGCAAAGGTCATGAGCTGGACCACGCAGCAGATCCGCAAGTTCGACCCCCTCAGGGAGGCGAAGTTGTGCCTGGAGCTGCTAGGACCGGGAGTGGGCCATTTTTTTCTTTTTTTTTGGGGGTTGGGGTTCCCTTAGCAATCTCCTTAAAAGCAAAAAGGGCACCCTTCTTATTCCTAGGTTATTGCCGGGTCTAGGCTGTCGCACGAGAAGCTGGTGCGGGCCTACAATTTTTTCCAGCACCCCGCCGGTCCCAACGAAGATGTGCAGGAAGTTTGGATACTTGGTAGCCCCGTGGTACCCTTTTCCTTTTTTTGTTGGCTTCAAGGTTCCCTTATAAAGTAACCAGCCCCCAAAAAAGGGTGCCCCTTACTGTAATATGGCTACTGGGCTACCAAGGATAGTTCAAGAATGGTGCGACAAAGGCACGCTTGCGAGCTTTTGCGACACGCCTCGCTGCGATGGCCGCGGCTTAAGGTCCTGGTAGCCTAGTGGTACCCTTTTCCTGTTTTGTTGCTTCAAGGTTCCCTTATCAAGTAGCCAACCCCCAAACAAGCCCCTTGTTTTTATAATATGGTTGCTGGGCTACCCAGAGGTACGTCAAGAGCATCATGCTGGATGTGGCCGAAGCCTGCGCCTACTTACACTCAAGGGATATCATCCACGGCGACCTGACAGCAAGCAACGTTCTCCTACAAACCCGCCCAACCCAGGCTCCCCAGGCAGGGGAGAGAGAGCCCATCGAGTTTGTTTGCAAAGTGGGCGACTTTGGTTTGGCGAGGGTCTTGGAGGAGAACAGCACCTCATTTTTGACCACACAGCTGCTAGGCGGGGACTGCTACGACTTTATATCACTTCTATGTAAGTTTTGGGGGGGTTCCTCTACTTTCATATTAAGGGAGCTGAAAGTAAAACCTACACCCCAAACCCTAAACCCTAAACCCTAAACCCTAAACCCTAAACCCTAAACCCTAAACCCTAAACCCTAACCCCCTAAACCCTAAACCCTAAACCCTAAACCCTTGGGGTGTTTAAGAGCCACCAAGGCTGGGGACGATTTCGCACATGCCGCCTGAGCTCCTTGAGCTTGATGCAAGTTCCAAGCGCATGAGCCGAAAAGCAGATGCTTACCTCTCCAGCAGCTGCACTTTAAACTTTTTGGGTTTCCTTATTTCGTAGGAATAATGAAGTTCAACCTTTCTTCCCTTGGCTATTGGAGAAGTAAGGATGTCTACGCCATGGGAATCCTGCTATACCATGCGCTATCGGGCAAGGTGCCATATGCAGGCCTGCTGTCGGCGCAGATCATTGTCTTTGCTGCTGGGCCGCAACTGGGAACATTTTGCATGTCAAGTAAACAGCCCCTAACCCTAAGCCCTAAGCCCGAAGCCCTAAACCCTAAACCCTAAACCCTAAACCCTAAACTCTAAACCCTAAACCCTAACCCAGGTTGCAGAAGGTGGCACGCTACAGTTGCCCAAGGAGGCTCCTGAGGCTGTGAATGCAATTTTCGCACTTTGCGTGCAAAGAGTCTCGGATCATTACCATATCCCCCTTGAATTGATTTTGTACTTTTGTTTATATAAAACCCAAGAGGATATTAAACATATCATTTTATTAAGTATCTAAGGGAAGTATAGATTAGTCAGTCGAAGGGTAGTTTTATGGGCCCTTAATATGGTCCCATACCTTCTTGAAAGAGTTCTGCTGCATGGGCCCTTGGGTTTGAAAGGGCCCATACTAAGGGACCATGTGACTACCCCTAAGAGTCATGGTGTGTGAGGGGTTATGGTTTCTAGGGTGTAGGGCTTCGAGTGTAGGGTTTAGCAGTACAGAAAGAAACAGCACTGGGAGGAATCTTCGTATTAGCACTGAGACATGCCAGTGACATTGCAAACGATCACAACAGTCCTGCGGTCCTTTGGAGTTCGGGAAAAGGAAACCCTAAACCCTACACCCTAAATCCTAAACCCTAAACCCTAAACCCTAAACCCTAAACCCTAAACCCTAAACCCTAAAGGTATAACATTCGGGACACTGGGACCCTCGGGAAACTGCCAAGGATCAAAAGATCAGCGTCCGTCCGCCAACACGCTTCTTGAGCGTTTCTCCAGCCTACCATGGTGACAGTCTAGTCCTTCGTGTTTTCCAAGGAGGCTCCAATTGGGGTTTAGGGCTTAGGGCTTAGGGCTTAGGGTTTAGGGTTTAGGGTTTTTCAAGGCCTCCGTGTTTTCCAAGAGGCTCTAGATGGGCATCATGTAATGTTATCAGGAAGCAGTCCGAGTCGCCCGCCCTACGGCCCACAAGTCTAAACCCTATTAAAAGCTCATTGAACCCTAAGCCAAAGCCTATTAAAAGCACTAAACCCTACGAAGCCCTACTAAACCCGAAACCCTAAGCCCCAAAGCCTGAACCGTAAAGCCTGAAGCCTATTAAACCCCTAAACCCTAAACCCTACTAAGCCCTAAACCCGAAAGCCCAAACCCTGCAGCCTAAGACCCTGAACCCTAAACCCTACTTAACCCTACTAAACCCTACTTAACCCTACTTAACCCTACTTAACCCTACTTAACCCTACTTAACCCTACTTAACCCTACTTAACCCTACTTAACCCTACTTAACCCTAAACCCGAAACCCTAAACCCTTAACCCTCTAAACCCTAAGCCCTAAACCGTTAAGCGACAGGCCGTCGAGGGGGCTCGGGACTGCCCAGTCGCCACCCTTTTAGGGTTTAGGGTTTGGGGTTTAGGGTTTAGGGTTTGGGGTTTAGGGTTTAGGGTTTAGGGTTTTTCGGAGTTAGATTTGTTGGGTCTAGTGTCCTCAGAAGAGTGGCAGTCAACTGTTGTTGCCACTCTTCCGCTCAGACAGGCGGCTCAGTTTTCTCAAACGGGGGTTTACGATGTTCGCGGCACCTTCTTGGGGCCCTCATCATAAGGGAGACCCTGCTATTTGGGGGGTCTTTTTTTAGGGGCCCCTTCTTATCGTAAACCCCCAAATGTTATATTGCCTGGTGGTCTCTTTCAGTAGGGTTTCTGTTTTGTAAGGGGTTCTTATTCGGGTATCTGGGGGCTATGCTAAGGTATAGGGGGAACCGATGAAGAGGCCACCGGCCTTAATAATATCCCAAATGTGTTTCATTCGGATGGAGCTGACGCTCCCAGGAACAGAGTACTTGGAGGTTCATGGTACTTACTAACCAACTATTTTAACTGTACTTATAACTGTACTTATAAGCCCCTTAAGTGCCCTAATATGGTTATAAGTACAGTCACAACTGCACCTATTAGTTGGTCAAGAAGGACCATGAACCTCCAAGTAGAGCTCCCTCACAGCATGGGCCGTAGCTTCATCGCGGAGAGGAGGGCCTTGGGGCTTGGCACGTCTTTGTCTTGGTAGCCCGGTGGTGCCCTTTTCCCTTTTTGTTTTTGGGTTCTGGGTTCCCTTCTGAAGTAACCAACGCCCCCCCCAAAAAAGGGGCCCTTATTCTAAGATGGTTACTGGGCTACTAAGTTGTGCGTGCTGGGCATTTTTGATGTGCACGCTTGACGTCAAAAGGTGCTCTTGCTGGGACATGCTTTGCTCGGTCGTTTAGCCTTTTGGGTTTAAGGTTCATTGGTTCTCTGCAGCATGAGTTCGCAGACGCAGGCTAAACTCCAAACCCCGAGACCCCAAACCCTAAACCCTAAGCCCCAAAGAAGCTCGGCTACTGTGCTCAACTCCCGATACAACATATAACGCAAAGACTTGAACCGTCACGATCGTCCATTAGGGAGAGTTGCACTTGCGAGATCCGTTCTCCTATTGAGATTTCGTGACTTGGGTTTCCTATAAGGTATAGGGTTTAGGGTTTCGGGTTTCGGTTTAGGGGGTCCACCCTCGAGGTTCCAAAACGCCGTGTCAATCATTCCGAAAGCCTACCACCAAGGCTCTTCTGCGAGAGACCGGACGGATGCACAGCTGCGGTTACTTACAGTTGGTTAGTAGGGAATGAGGGAAAGAGGAACCTTATACAATCCCGGGTATATATATATATGTATATATATAGGGGGGGGGGGCATATAGGGTGCCTCATTCCCTCATTCCCTACTAGCCGACAGTAAGGTTAAGGGCACTTCTTCGGCAACTTGTGAGGGTTGAGGGCTTGGTAGCTCAGTGGCAGCCATTTGTTTTTTCTCTTTGTTTGCTTCCAGGTTCCCTTATAAAGTAACCAACCCCAACAAAGGGTGCCCTGATTAGGGTTTAGGGTTTAGGGTTTAGGGTTTTGCGATTTGGCCTCCTAAACTTTAGGGTTTAGGGTTCAGGGTTCGGGGTTCAGGGTTTAGGGTTTTTTTTGAGGTTTTTTTTTGAGGTTTTTTTAGGGTTTCGTAGGGTTTAGGGTTTAGGGTTTTGTATGTTTACTGGGCAACCAAGAGGGTTTTTGGGGACTCTGGACCCCCTCAACGTAGTTCATGGCCTACATTGGCGTATACTCTTCTCGGGGCGTTCCGTGTCCTGAAAGGGCATGATGGGTAGTTATGGGGTGGCCCAACACCCTAAACTCCAAAATAACCCTAAACCCCCAATACCGCCTAAACTCCCTAATTCTAATAAAACTCCTCAACCCCCCAAACCCCTAACATAACCCGAAGCCCTAAAGCCTACGCCCTAAATCCGTAAACCCCTAACCCCTAACCGCTAACCCGTAAACCCTAAACCCCAAACCCCAAACCGTAAACCCCAAACCCTAAACCCTAAACCCTGAACCCTAAACCCTAAACCCTCAACCCTCAACCCTCAACCCCAAACCCTAAACCCCAAACCCCAAACCCCAAACCCTAAACCCTAAACCCTAAACCCTAAACCCTAAACCCTAAACCCTAAACCCTAAACCCTAAACCCTAAACCCTAAGCCCTAAACCCTAAACCCTAAACCCTAAACCCTAAACCCTAAACCCTAGCCCTAAACCCTAAACCCATCCTAGGCTTCTGCGACCGACTACTTGATGCCTTGCGGCGGCAATTCGGCGCCAAGCGCCTTCAGCGGCTGAGGGAGTGCCCTGTCGTCGCTTAGGGTTTAGGGTTTAGGGTTTAGGGTTTAGGGTTTAGGGTTTAGGGTTTAGGGTTTAGGGTTTAGTAAGGTTTAGGGTTTAGGGTTTAGGGTTTAGGGTTTAGGGTTTAGGGTTTAGGATGGTAGGGTGTCGGGTGCTACGGTTTTAAGGACTTACGGAGTTAGGGTTCTATAGGGTTTTACGGCTTTAGGGTTTCAGAGTGTAGGGTTTAGGGTGCTATGGTTTCAGGGACTAGCGGCTCTGGGGTTTTGAGGTTTTAGGGTTTCAGGGTGTAGGGTTTAGAGTTTAATCCCTAACCCTAAACGCTAAACATCCCTAAACCCTAAACCCTAAACCCTAAACCCTAAACCCTTTAATAGGATCCCCTGGTGTTAGGGTTTGAGGGTCTTAGGGTCCGGGCCATGCTCGGAAGGTCGCGCGGTTGCAAGCGCTTAGTGGTGCCCACCCCAAAGCCGCCGGACCCTTGAAACTGGCACCCCTTGGCACTCGGTTAGGGGTTTAGGGTTTAGGGTTTAGGGTTTAGGGTTTAGGGTTTAAGGTTTAGGGTTTAGGGTTTAGGGTTTAGGGTTCCTTGGGACCCTTAGAGGGGTGGTCGGGTGACTTGGGCCGCTTGGGCTACTTGGGGACTCTTGGGTCGCTTTTTGGGACACTGGGCAAAACTGGAACACGTTGGAGGCCAGGCATTCTCCATCATGTGGTTTAGGGTTTAGGGTTTAGGGTTTAGGGTTTAGGGTTTAGGGTTTAGGGTTTAGGGTTTAGGGTTTAGGGTTTAGGGTTTAGGGTGGCCTCCTGCAGTTGAACGCTTGAATGCACCCGCTTTCCCCAAAGAGGTGAGAGCGGCAAGTGGGTTAGGCTTAGGGTTGAGGGCAGAGTTTAGCGTTGAGGGCTTGTCTCGCTTCGTGGTGGAAGGATTGGGGTGGGGTTGAGGGTTTGCTTGTCGAAGCATCTGCATGGACATTGTTTTGTTGACGCGTTCGTGTGCAAGAATGCCCAGAGCCTAAACCCTCAACGCTAAACCCTAAACCCGAAACCCTCAATCCCCAAAAAAAACCTCAATCGTCAACCCTCAACCCTAAACCCTAAACCTTTATGCCTTAAGCCCTACAGGTCATCCTTTGAGGGTACTTCATGCTGCTGCTCTGCTTCCCACCCTCTCGCTGTTTCTTTCACTACAAGGAAGGGGCCGCATACTTATCTTATCTAGGGTTTAGGGTGTAGGGTTTAGGGTTTAGGGTTTAGGGTTTAGGGTTTAGGGTTTAGGTTTTAGGGTTAGGGTTCTGGCTCTACTCAGGACTAAGGCTTCAAGGGGAGACTCCTTGTCGCAAACCCCAGAACCGGAGCCCCTTTGGTTCTGGGGTTACGAACAAAAACTTACCTCTCCAACAGCTGAACTTTAAGCTTTTTGGGTTTCCCTGTTCAGTAGGAATGATAAAGTTTAACCCTTTTTTCCC